TCCTGTGGCAGTGAATTCCATGTGTGAATCACTCTTTGGGTGAAGAAGTACTTCCTTTTATGCGTAAGCCAAGCAACTGAATGTTGCTAAACGGGGCCTTTCTGTGTCACCAGGGTTTTGAACTACTACTTTCAGCTTTGGGTGATCCCTCAGAACGAGTAGTTAGTGCAACTCATCAGGTGTTCTTGCCTGCCTATGCTGCCTGGACTACTGAACTGGGAAATTTGCAGTCCCATCTTATACCTACGTTGCTTAGTAAAATCGAAAAACTACTCAGGGTAAGTACTGTTTCAGTGCTTCAGACTTTTGACAGTGCATCCGAGATGAGCACGCATGTTGTAATTCATATGGATCTTCTAGTTTTTAAAGTGTGTTTACTACTTACTGGTACTATTGTCATTAGCTGGGTATTTTGTTAGTTGCCATTCAATAATCTGCAAACCTTATAAGAATAAGCTAACCCACCGCATTTGCTGTGTGTATGTAGCTAAGAACCTAACATACCTTTTGTTTACGATGACGAGAGAATACATTGAGAACTTCTAAATTAACGGGAGCGTGATCATTCAGTTTCTCTTGGACATGTTTATCACCTCTTACTAGGTAGAATGAAATAGCTGATTTTTACACATAAAATTGAAACTTGACACTTGCACTGAGCCCCAGGTTGTTTTATAACTTATTGAGAAGATTATAGAAAGAGTCCGTTCCTAGCTCATTTTTTATTTTCAAACTTTTACAATGGAATTTGAGAGAAATTTCTGTAGTAAATGTTGGTGGTTTGTAGTCCTCAGTAACCTGTCACTGCAAAGATGAGGAGACAATCCTCGATTTCAGAGGAAGGGGCTGGATCCTGTCATAGATATATTAATAACCAGGACTATTTTTGGGCAGGAACGCACAGGAACGGAGTTCTGTCTGGCTTCAGAGTTGGCCATGCCCACTACAGTTAGGGTTGTGTGGCCTAACATGCAAAGGAGTTCCTGCTACAAAAAAGGCCCTGGGTTTTGACCACAAACAAGGTAAACAGAATAAGAAGCAAAAGGTGGGTGTGGCTGGATGACCACACTTCTGGTAACATGGGAATGCGGCTTAATATGCTAATGAGCGGTGCAGTCAGGGGTGTGGCCTAATATGCTAATGTGTTTCTGCTTCTGGGTGTGGCCTATTATGCTAATGAGTTCCTGCTGGACTTTTTCTACCAAAAAAGCCCTGTTAATAACAATGGATGTCACCCAGACAGAGTTAAGCACTGTCAGGACTCACCAAGAAAGATAAACGGCCAAGAGATGGGAAGATGGTAATATCCCGACTAAAGAAGAATTTGTTTTCAAACTGTTTGATATAGCAGAAATGGAGAAATGAACCTTTATTATTGAAGGAAAAAGTTTGGAGGCTTTTGAAAATTATTGGTTTGGTTTTTATAGATGGTTGAAAGAGTCAAAATTCGGTTTAATTTAGTGAATTTGGTTTATTCTACAGTATAACAGTGTAAAAATTAGTACATGTATCTATTTGAATTTTATGAAGATATCTGCTAACATGTAATTTATGTAATGATGATGAATATTTTTGTCAATATTAGAAAACCAATTTTTTAAAATTAAGAAAAGGAAGATAAACTGACACGCTTACATTTTCTGATTTAGTAATAAGTGAGGTTTAAAATGGCTTTATTTCATCTGGACTGTGCCAGTGTTCTTTTATATCACTTAATCGTTCACAGAAAAGGGCTTTTTTTTTTTAAGTAAAGGTAAAGGTCTCCCTTGCTCGAAAGCCAGTCGAATCCGACTCTAGGGTTGCGGTGCTCATCTCCGTTTCAAATCCGAAGAGCCAGCGCTGTCCGAAGACGTTTCCGTGGTCATGTGGCCGGCATGACTAAACACTGAGGCGCACGGAACGCTGTTCCCTTCCCACCGAAGTGGTACCTATTTATCTACTTGCAATTTCTTGCTTTCGAACTGCTAGGCTGGTAGGAGCTGGAACTAGAGACGGGAGCTCACCCCATCTTGCGGCAACCCGGGTCTCGAACTGCTGAACTACCGACCTTCTACAGCCTGCAGTTCAGTGTCTTAACCACTTGAGCCACCGCAGCTCTTTTTTTAGAAAGGCCTAAAAAGTAGATTGATGATTTTCTGATCAGAGGCCGAGTTAGCGTAGAAGGTCGCTTCCTCCAAAACCCCTGCGTACGACCTGTTTTGTTTTCCGTTTATCCCTCCGCATTGTCCTCTTCCAGCCTTTCTCCAGTAGATTCTGTGAGAGGAAGAGAATCTGGTGATCGCCAAAGAGCAGAGCCTGAGCTTGTTCCGTCTTGTGTTTCAGGAAGGAGAGCACGGGCTGGAGGAACACAAACTCCACATGTATCTCTCTGCTTTGCAGTCCTTGATTCCTTCGCTTTTTGCACTGGTGCTACAGAACGCGCCTTTCACCAGCAAAGCAAAGCTTCAGGGAGAAGTCCCACAGATCGAAGGTACACACGTCTCCCCCTCCCTCCCCCACCCCCGAATATTTATTTAGAAATTGGGTAAACGTATTTTCTGCAATAAATGTAAAGTTACATGAACACAGTGATCTAGTTTTTCCCTAGCTAGGCTAGAGCTACCTAGCTTTTTCTAAATGCAAACCAAAGAACGACCTTTCTTTCTTTTTCTCAGTGTGACCAGTACAAATCTATAATACCATCTCAGGAGCTGGTCCGATACCTAACGGAATCGTATCAATGAAGAGATATTCTTGACTTGTGTGAGCCTTTTCCCCCCCTACCTCCGTCATTAGCTTCATTTTGATAGCAGAAGCATAAAAACTCACAAGCAGAGAGGCCCAGCGCTACTCCTAGCAAAGTAAAAGGCCCTCGGTTTGTCAGGTGGTGATCACAAACGTCACAGCGCCTTCTCCTGGAGTAGCAACACACATGCGCAACCATACACGTTCTCTGGTTAAGGTGGGCCTGGGAGGACATCGGTAAAGATGACACTTTTATTACTTAGCTTGGAACCCCGTGGTAAATCTCCACTAGCAGAAGGAGATCTTTGCTGATTTTCCCGGACCATCAGCTCTCCTCAGGCTGTTCCTTAGGGCCCCCCGTCCCCAAGGATCAGCGTCTCTGGGGTCATTCGTGGCTGGAGCGGAAGAGACAAGAAGGTCACGGTCAGCTGACAGAAATGCCTTCCATCAGGGATTTACCATGGGACCGAGCAACTGTTGGTAAAGATCCAGAAGGCCTCTAGGGTACCTCATAGTAAAGTCAGTCTCGAAGGCAAGATACGTGCAAATTAAAATTAAACCACAGTGCAAGGACTTATGCCAGTTTAGTTTTGCTTTAAATCTCTCAGGCTATGTCTGCTTTAACCCTCTTGTCCTGTACCCATGATTTAAATTAATTTTGGTTAGACTTCCCTGTTCTAGTTTTTCTGGGTGGAAGCCTTTTTAGTTACTGATTTTTATCGTTTTCTTCGTAGTAAATGAGTCAGTGGGGGAAAAAACCTGGTATTTTTATATTATAATAATTTTTATTGAGTTTTTTACCACATAAAGGAGAAAAGAAACATGAAAAAAACATACAGAACAAAGTAGACATAACACAGAACACCCATAAATCCACCACCTTCAACCCCAATCAGTTTAGCGCATATCATCTGCACCACTCTATTTATTTACACATTTTGTACCTGAATTCATTCATCTAACAACAAATTAATTTATCCTACAGATCTTTCTTGATCTGTAGTTATTTTCAAGCCGTCTATTACATATTAAGTTGTGTTTTCAAGTCCTGTTGAGGACCTTATATTAGTGATAATTTTCAACAGTTTGCTTACCAAAAAATACTGAAACTCTGATAATGACTCAGATCCAGAATAAAATTCAATTCCCTTTAAATAACCCAGGTCTTGTAACCTCCAAAATGGTCTCCATTTTAAACTATTGTTTAACGTTCCACATTAACTTATATATTTCACTCTAACTCTAACAAGCAGGTACATTCCTATAACAAATATCAGTAACGTTGAAACTCATATTAAAGGCAAGTCCAACATCAACTAACAGCCTATAAGGTCAAAAATTAGCTATTTCTTTCCTACTTACCAAATCTTAAAAACTATATATATATATGTCAACCATCTGCCAATTCCTAAGTCACATTTTCACAAAATTGTAATACCGAGACATAACAGACATACTAGTACAGACAAAATATATATGATACAGTTGCGCTGCCCTAACATGATGTCTTTCTTTTTTTCTTTGGTTTTCCATATTTTCACTTAAATGTCGCCGATCTTTGTACTCCTGATCCTTTTCTGGATTTTTTGTGTCACACTTCAAAGGTTTTTTAAAGCTAGAGTCTTTCAATTTCTTTAGACCTTTCGTTATAAATTTCGTCTTTTTCTTCCTTCTATCCTCCTTGCTCTGCATATTCGACAAGCATACTTTTTTAGCCAGTGCTTTTTTCAGGCAATCCTTTTTTTTTATCCAGGAAAACCTGGTATTTTTAGCCTTGGTTCATGGTTGCTTGTTGTCTCCTTTGGTGTAGTGGTTAAGTGCGCGGACTCTAACCTGGGAGAACCGGGTTTGATTCCCCACTCCTCCACTTGCAGCTGCTGGATGACCTTGGGCAAGCCATAGTTCTAATAAGAGCTGTTCTTGAAAAAGAGCAGTTTCTGTCAGAGCTCTCTCAGCCCCACCTACCTCACAGGGTGTCTGTTGTGGGGAGGGGGAGGGAAAGGAGTTTGTAAGCCGCTCTGAGACACCTTTAGGTAGTGAAGGGCGGGGGAATAAATCCAATCTCCTCTTCTTCTTCAATGTGAGACAGATTTTATTTTTATTTTATTTGTTGGATTTATACCCCACCCTCCCCGCCAAAGCAGGGGTATTTATTTCCCTCTGTCGTTGGTAATCACAATTCCTTGGTTCAGATTAAGGTGAGATTCCCTTGCACCTGTGGCATCATATGACCCTGGGCTTCTACGGGGTTTTGCACAAACACTAGTCCCCCCACCTCTAAATTCCCCACTCCTCCATTTGCACCTAGATGGATGACCTTGGGCAAGCCGTAGTTCTGATAAGAGCTGTTCTTGGAAAAGAGCAGTTTCTGTCAGAGCTCTCTCAGCTCCACCCACCTCACAGGGTGTCTGTTGTGGGGAGGGGAAGGGAAAGGAGTTCGTAAGCCGCTCTGAGACTCCCTTGGGTAGTGAAGGGCAGGGTATAAATCCAATCTCTTCTCTTCTTCTTCTTTTACCTCACAGGGTGTCTGTTGTGGGGAGGGGGAGGGAAAGGAGTTTGTAAGCCGCTCTGAGACTCCCTTGGATAGTGAAGGGTGGGGTATAAATCCGATCTTTTCTCCTTCTTCCTTCCAGTGACAAGATTCCCAAGGCCTGTATCACCTCTTCAGGATGTGGCCACTATAATCGGAAGCCATGAACAACTGGCAGTTCTGTTGCAGCTTTATGATTACCAGCTGGAGCATGAGGGTACCACAGGCTGGGATACCTTACTATGGGTTGTTAATCAGCTGTGAGTTCTTCTTGTTTGCCCTACTTAATTCCCCTGAATAATTACAACACGTAGGAAGTGCTTTTTTTCCCCACTTTGCAAAAGTGGCAACACTTGGTGCTTTCCTTTTATTTTTTTGGCAGTCAGAACTGATTGCATCAATTACTTTGCGATGCCGCTTTGGGTGGTGATTGAGAACAGCCCAGTCGTGTTACCTTTGCGAATATTGAATCTAATCTTTAAGAATAGTACTTCTCAGTCTCCCATAACTTTGTCATTGTAATTCGTTAACGATGAGCAGCAGCAGTTTTACTTTAGCGCTCTTTAATGTATCGTGTCAGAAGGCCTTAAAAAAATGGGTCATTGATGCAAGAAGTGCGCATGTGTGGGTATGGTGCTGGAAAGCCACCCAAGCAGTGATTTTTTGGGGGGGGGGGGAACCCACTGATGCAATTTCCTCCTTTTAGGTTGCCGCAGCTTATAGAAATCGTTGGCAAAATCAACGTGGCCTCAACAGCCTGCGTGCACGAATTCTCAAGGTTTTTCTGGCGGCTCTGCAGAACATTTGGCAAAATCTTCACAAATACGAAGGTAAACGCATCCATGTCCGGACCAGATTACAAAACGGAAGAATGCTTCGTAAGGCACTGTATTGATATGGGGAAATAAATAGAACACTGGCAGGGCTCTTTTTGTAGCAGGTACTCATTTGCATATTAAGCGACACACCCCTAATGTAGCCAATCCTCCAAGAGCTTACAGTAGCCCCTGTAAGAAGAGCTCTGTAAGCTCTTGGAGGATTGGCTACATTAGGGGGTGTGGCCTAATATGCAAAGGAGTTCCTGCTACAGAAAGAGCCCTGAGTCTGGTGGTGGAAGGCAGTGTCAGGCCACACAGCTGATTTAGGATGACCATGTAGAACTTTTTGGGGCCAGAGACGTTCAGAGGTGGTTGGCCATTGCCCTCCTCTGCAGAGCAACCCTGGACTCCCTCTGTCGTCTCCCATCCAAGCAGTAACCAGGGCTGACCCTGCTTAGCTTCCAAGGTCTGACAAGATCAGGCTTGCCAGCTAGGTTTTAAAAAACCCTCAGCCATAGGATTTTAGTTGGTAAAGGATCTTCGCTGTTAGCAGGGTTTTTCTGTTTATGTGGAGCAGCCCGATAGCTAGGGAATTCGGGGGGGGGGGGCTTGCCAGCTAATTAAATGAAAGTACAACGTGCAGGTGGTAAGTTAGAGCACCTTGGGGGCAGCCCAGGGAAGAGGGCCCAGAAGAAACACTAGGGGGGCCGGGCCCCGTGGGCCCCATGTTAGCTACGGGCCAGATGTGGAGATGAGGCTTGTGGTAACACACACTACATAATCCACTTTCAACGGACTTTCCAACTGGGTTTCGCCAGTTCACACAGTACAATCCAGTTGGAAAGTGCACAGAAAGTGGATTGAACGTGGATTATTTAGTGTGTGCGACCGCAGCCAAGGAGGCTCTTCTTCCCTGTGGGCCTTAAGTGCCAGTCATGAACAGTGTTCCCTCTAAGCTGAGTTAGTGTGAGCCAGTTCACAGTTTTTTTAGCCTCCAGCTCCCACATTTTTGTCTCAGCTCAGGAAGGATGGGTTCCAGAGCAAACTAATTTTATGCAGCAGCCAAACTACCTGCTCACAACTTTAATGCCAGTCGCTCACAAAGTAGAATTTCTGCTCACAGGGCTCCACAGCTTAGAGGGAACATTGGTCATGAATGTCCCCCAGCAAGTTTTTAAACTTTTAAGATTTATATAACTGCTTGGGGAAACTCCGTAGGTTCAGAGCAAGATGTCCAGTAGCACCTTAGACGAACAAAATGTGTGGCAGGGTATGAGCTTTTGTGAGTCACTGGCTCAGTGTAAGCTTAGTTTGTAAGCTTATTTAAATCCTGCCCAGTCTTGCACACTCGTGGCAAACGAGCAGGACTGGCCCAGCCATGAAGCAGGGTGACGCTGTCATTTCAGGCAGCCAAACATGGACAAATTTCTGCCCACGATCCCGTCCCTAGCCTCTCCGTGCCAACAGTGGAATGACTGCTTTCCTTCTGCCATCACTAAGACCAGTCAAGTATCTGTCAGCTGACCAGTTTGGTGTAGTGGTTAAGTGCGCGGACTCTAATCTGGGAGAACCGGGTTTGATTCCCCACTCCACTTGCACCTGGCTGGATGACCTTGGGCAAGCCGTAGCTCTGATAAGAGCTGTCCTTGAAAAAGAGCAGTTTCTGTCAGAGCTCTCTCAGCCCCACCTACCTCACAGGGTGTCTATTGTGGGGAGGGGAAGGGAAAGGAAAGGAGTTTGTAAGCTGCTCTGAGACTCCTTCGGGTAGTGAAGTGCGGGGTATAAATCCAAACTCTTCTCCTTCTTTTACCTCACAGGGTGTCTGTGGTAGGGAGGGGAAGGGAAAGGAGACTGTAAGCCGATCTGAGACTCCTTTGGGTAGTGAAGGGCGGGGTATAAATCCTATCTCTTCTTCTTTTACCTCACAGGGTGCCGGTTGTGGGGAGGGGAAGGGAAAGGAGTTTGTAAGCCGATCTGAGACTCCTTTGGGTAGTGAAGGGCGGGGTATGAATCCAATCTCTTCTCCTTCTTTTACCTCACAGGGTGTCTGTTGTGGGGAGGGGAAGGGAAAGGAGTTTGTAAGCCGCTCTGAGACTCCTTTGGGTAGTGAAGGGCGGGGTATAAATCCAATCTCTTCTTCTTCTTCTTTTACCTCACAGGGTGTCTG